TCTCTCTCTCTCTCTCTCTCTCTCTCTCTCTCTCTCTCTCTCTCTCTCTCTCTCTCTCTCTCTCTCTCTCTCTCTCTCTCTCTCTCTCTCTTACATACACATACACATACTGTATACACACAGAGCAAAAAATTAGAGCTCTGAGTTAAACTGTAACTATAGGTTCCACTTTAGACACAATTCCACTATTTGCAACTGGCAAAATAATTTTATTTTTAACCAACATTCATTGACTGAAATATTTAAGCTTTACATGGATGTATTGAAATAGTTTCCCAATACAAATCTTCGTTACTAGGCCTGTGAAATAGCTTTTCAAAGTCTGCTCTCTTTACTTGAACTGCAAGACAAGGAATATGTTCTGAACAATAAATATATTTGATTCAAATAAATGAGATTTCACATTGCAGTGGAGAAAGGAAAGTCTAGAACAACAACTGTAGCAGAGCTCTAACATGAATGTATGATGCAAATACAGACATATGATATACAAAAATGCATTTATGGTCTTTCTTTTGGAAAAATATCTGCATAAATGTCCCTTTCTTTTCCAAAATATTGGTAACATACGTTTCAAACAGGTAAACACTTTATAACTTTATATCACCACACTATCTATTCAGTCTGAAAATCAATATGATGTAGACAATATTGTATTGTATAGTAAAGTCATCCATTAAAAAAGGGATAGATAACATCTGAGGGATGCTTATTAATGTGGCCACTCTAATTTTATCCTTAGTTCGGCAATCAGCAAGCACTGGGAAGCAGAACTTGCTACACTAAAGGGCAACAACGCCAAGCTGACAGCAGCTCTCCTTGAGTCCACTGCCAATGTGAAACAATGGAAACAGCAGCTTGCTGCGTATCAAGATGAAGCAGAGCGTCTACATAAACGAGTGAGTTGACATCACTTGTGTAGTGAAACTGTTATAGCTATGACTTGAGGAAAGGTGTGACTAAAATATTATTATAGTAGGTTATCACTTCATCTAATGACTAACAAAATCCATCCATATGAAGTTTTATTTGCCCTTTCCTGAAATTAAAGACTGTGGAAAGTTCAAGTACATCCAGGTGTTCTGTCTCCATACTGATCCCCATTATTGAAAGAAATGCTTGAGTAATATAATTATTATGTACTAATTATCCCAGAAGTTTAATACTTATTATTATGAGCAGTCTCTGATGATGTTTTAGCTGCCCTACAACATGATTAATTGATGACTGGACAAGCAAGCCTCTACTAAGCCTGGCAGCACAAAGCATACCTTCCAAACACTGATTGGTTGCAGAGCCAAGCCATGCCTGCTGATGATTGTCTGTGAATGTGTAATACATTCATGAAACTGTGGCATTGGAAGATCCATAAGGGTAATTTGTTCCAAGTTCCTGCAGTTGTTTGAAAAGCCAAATAAATGTTTCTCAGGAGGTGGCCTCTTCTTCAAAGTCTACAAAGATGGTAAAATCACAACCTCTGTAAGTAGACTGTTCTGTTATATAGACCATGCTGTCAGAGAAAGATTCCTTATAATTAAACAAAATCAAGTTAGCTGCAATTTGTACCTATTACTTTTAGCCCTGATTTCTGTAGTAATGGAGAATCATTTCTGCCCATCTTTCCCTTGGCACTCTTTTATGTTTCTGAAGATGGATATCATGTCTTCCTTGAATCTTCTTTTCTCCAGACTGAATCTTCCAAGTTTCTTCAGCCTGTCTTTATAGGACATGTCCACAAGTACCTGTATCATATTTGTTGCCCTGGCTCTGTTCCAACTTGTCAGCATCTTTCTGGAAATATGGTGGCTAGAATTGTACACTGTACTCCACATAGAGTCTCATCAGTGTTGAGGGGAATAAGGCCTTCATGCAACTTTGATGAAGTGCTTCTTCTAATGCACTCCATAACTGCATTAATTCTTCCACTAACAAATTACCAACATAAACAGTTGAGTTCAAACCAAGCTAATATGGTGTCAAAAATTATCAAAAAGCTTAGTGCTCATCAAACAACAAACCCTTTCAAATCTCCCCTAAACCTTGAAAATTGAGGGCATATATTTACTGTACCTCTATCTGCAGCTTTGAAAAGAATACCAAGTCCAGGAATTCAATTCCCAGTAGATGTTTGAATCTCACAGAATAAAATCTGATTACCCATGTTAGATGAGTCCTAATAGGACAGAAGGGTTATGTGGTACCTCCTGATGGCCAATGAAACTAAAAAAGTTCAGTCAAAGCCATCAAACATTTACCTGATCCTGCTTTAATTAAATGCTGAGTTTTATGAAAAAGAGGATATTTTGGCTCAAGTCCTGAAAGTTCTATTTTTTTCCCAATGCCAATGCAGTCCTACGCTGCATCAACAGATCATGTCAAGTGTTAGTACCACTTTATATTGCCTTAGTAAGACCACCTTTGGAATATTCCACCCAGTTTTGGTCACCACAATACAAAAAAGATGTCAAGACTCTAGAAATAGTGCAGACAAGAGCAACAAAGGTAATTAAGGAACTGGAGGCTAAACCATACAATGAATGTTTGTGGGAACTAGGAATGTCTAGTCTAACACAGAAACAAGGTAGCAGTCCTCCAAAATTTGAGGGACTGTCACAGAGATGAGGGTTAATCTATGCACCTGAGCAAAACAAGAAGTAACTAATGGAAGCTAAACAAAGAGAGATCCAATCTAGAATTAAGGAGAAATTTCCTGTCAGCAAGAACAATTAATCAGTAGAACGACTTGCCTCCAGAAATTGCGGGTGCTCTATCACTGGAGGTTTTTAAGAAGGGATTGGACAGCCATTTGTCTGGAATAGTACAGGTAGTTCTCAAATTACAACCATAATTGAGCCCAAAATTTCTGTTGTTAAATGAATTCATTTGAATTCATTAAATGAATTTTGCCCCATTTTACAACATTTCTTGCTTCAGTTCTTAAGTGATACGTTCTGTTCTTCAGTTCTGCCGTGATACGTTAGTAATATGGTTGTTAAGTGAATCTGGCTTCCCCATTTACTTTGCATGTCAGAAGGTTGCAAAAGGTGATCACATGGCCTTGGGCTACAGCATCATATGAACCAGTTGCCAAGCATCTGAATTTTGATCACATGATCATGAGGATGCTGCAACGGTCGTAACAGTGAAAAATGGTCATTTTTCAGTGTTGTTGTAACTTTGAACAGTCACTAAAAAAACTATTGTAAGTCGAGGACTACATGTATAGTTCTCCTACTTGAATAGAAGATCTCTAAGGTCCCTTCTAATTTTGTTATTCTGTATTCTGTATGCTGTATCCTTTTGGCTGGAGTGAAATTAAATTTTTCCTGCCATTTTTCCACAAACTGCATGTAACAGCCCTTACTTTACCCTACAAAGCTAAAGTATCCTACAGTAAAAAAAGGGGGAGCACCAAACTGTTTTACCACTGCAATGTCATAACTGCTATGATTAAAAAAATTAGTGTAGCAAATTTTATTTAAAACAGAAACAATGGAAATCCAAGCACAGATTACTCATTTAACTGGACACTTAATTTGTCTCTAACAAAGAGGTGGATCTCTTATCCCTAAGGTTTACTGTATGTTCTTCAATGTTTTCTATTGCTATAAAGCATAGTGGCTTCCTAGGAATATTTATCAGGAATATTTTTTTATTTACTTGTAAGGAATGCCAAGTAGATCATTTAGGTGCCTGGGGTTTTGTCATCTTAATTATACTGCTATTGCCATTTGATTTTGGGTAGCTCTAAGAATTTGGATGAAGAAAGGCAAAACAAAAATGTATCTCTTCATTTATTTATGCCTAGCAATGGCAAACTATTTGCACCTCAAATTGGTTAACTTTCAGAATGTATCCAGAATCCAGGATCTATGATTCCCGTGAAATAATACAAAATGTCATAAAACATTTCCTGTGCTCAGCTCCTGATGTTTGACTATACTATACAGTTGGGCTATTTTCAAGGCAGATACAGCTCTGAATATCTCCCTGAATTTTTAAGAACATTTCAAGTACATTAGGAGTTCCCCCATTGTTGAAAGCTTTGAGGAATCTGGTAAGGAAATATATCTGAAATATGACCCAACATGTCATGTGCTACCTAGTTATTTGGTTATAAATATCACATATCACAGTAATTTCTCTCCTCTCTTTATCCACTAGGCATTGATGCTTTGATCTAGATATTTCAGAAGGAAGAATTTTTCATATAGTCTTCTAATTACTGAATTATTATTATATGTATTATTTTTACAGGTGACTGAGCTGGAGTGTGTGAGTAGTCAGGCAAATGCAGTCCAAACTCATAAAACAGAATTAAATCAGACAATACAAGAATTAGAAGCAACACTGAAGAAAAAGGAAGAGGTATTTTGTTGTATTTACTGATTCATGTAGTTACTTTAGAAAAAAAATTAAGAATATAATAAGATTAAAAGTTTTAGGTTGATGTGACTAGAATTAATAAATGATCTATTGGGTTCAGAATGTAAGGTAAATTTGCATCAAAGGTATGAACCAAAGCATTATTCAGCCTGCATTACTTTTTCCTTAGCCCAGTCCCCTTCTCATCTAACAACAATTATACTTTAGCAAAAAAAGAAAACCTGAAGAGTTTTTAAACTACAATATTTCTAAAGCCATTGCTTCACCCGCAAATGTAAACGAACACACACTCATGCAAATATCCTTGCATCAGTTATTTTTAAAAGGCATCCTTTGATAGTAACAGAAGTAACAGAATTTTAAGGGGGAATTCTTTGAGGGAAGGGTTAATTCAGCCTTCTTTTCTATGAGTTTTCTGAGCCATGCATCCCCCACTCCCTAGTCTCTTTCATGTAAGCATTACACTCTCTTGAGTTTAAATATTGCAGGGAAGAGAAAGGGAGGGTGAAAGAAAACATAGGGAAGGTAGATTTGGCTTCACCAAACTCACTCAGAGCTGCAGATATCTTCTAATAGATTTCTATAGAAGTTTCTTATTCCATTGCCCACAGTAGTGTTGAATCTGATGCATGATTGAAGCATATACTGAATGAGGTATTAATGATGTATACAATATCTGAGATTAAACTTCTTTACAAGTCTACTCAAAAGTACATAGAATGTATATCAGTAGTATATATTATTATTATTGCTGCTCCTTATTTTTATTTTGTCAGTTAGGCTTTTCTCTGTGTTGGTTTTTATATTGTTTTTATAATATAGTTTTATTTTTTATATATATAACATTTTCAAACTGACTGCACATTACCCAGAATTTCTGCTATTAGCATAAAAATACAATATCCTTGAACTGGAACTTAAAAATCAGAACATTTTTTGGACTTCTGGTTTTGCGCTGTAGCTCACAGCTGTGGGATTGTGGAGCTCCACACCCCATAGCTAGTTTCGCCCTGCCAGGGAACCCTAAATGGGTCAAAAGTCACCCCGGAGAGGCAACAAAGAAAAAGGCAGTTGATCTGTTCGATCCAGGGGAAGCCCTCTAACCTGACAGGCAAAAGGCTAGCTGCACACCAGTGTCTAGCCCTAGCTACTTGCAGCCGAAGTCCAAGAGCACAAACTCAAACAACGGTGAACAGCGTGCTTGGAATTGGTGAGAGTATCGATCTTTTCTCTTCTAGTTTGTAACTGATTCCTTGGGAAAGATCCCCAAAGTAAGAAATCCTCCAAAAGTGAAGGGAGGGGACTACACCCCCATTCCTCCATAGATGGAAGTGGCGAATTAACCTTTAAGGGGGAAAGAAATATATTGAAATGAAATTGTTAAGATTTTTACACCCTAAAGGGTTCTGATGAAATTATAAAAAAAATAAGAAGAACTTTTTGTTTGAAAAAGCTGGAAAACAAACAACTACTGATATCTAGTGGAGAATTAGAGTGTAGAACATCAACAAGACTGATTCAGAAATTGGCAAGATGCCCAGAAACAAAGTATAATCTGTTCCCTTGAACTTTAATAACTCTCAAGAAAACAACTGGGAACAAAGAAATAAAACATACAGCCAGCCATAAGATTAAAAAGTGTTTGCAGAAAAAGAAATACTCTGACTGCTGTTTAAGCCCAAGAATTGTTTACAGAAAAAGAAAAACTTGGCTAATCTCTCAGGGGGGGATTTACAGGAAGGACTCAAGGTGGCTAAATATACTGGATTGCAATTTTGACTAATTAATAACTGACCCCTAAATAGAAGAACTGTGATAAAATACTGCTTTCACTGATGCCTTGACAATTGGAAACACATTGGATTACAAAAACCATATATAAAGATAAGAACTATATAAGATTGGGTTGTTTGGATTCTGAGATTGGCTAGTTTGACAAGGCTAATCATAGAGATTACGGCACTGATGAAAGACTATTTGGAGGGGGAGACAATATGGATATTGTATACTTATCAAAAAATGACAGGAAACCACATCTAATACCTATTCCTGAAAGAGCTAGCCTAGAATATCAGAGACCTCCAGAAGCTATATTCCAAGACAAGACAGATACCTTTCAGGAAGAAATGTATGCAATGCTATGACAGATACAAATGACAATAGATTCAAACCATGAGGAGATCAAAAACAACTTTGATGACATAAATGAGCACAACTCCAGTCTAAACTTACAATCAAAAAACTCTCAAAAAATGATGATAAAGAATGAACAAACAAATCAGATAATAGAACACAAACTTGAAGAAAATGACTTAAACAGTGAAGGTACAAATGAAGAGAATTACAACTTAACACAAACAGGAAAAAATCTACAAGATTTTGCCATAACAATAAAAATGGAAAAGATACTTTATTTTTCAGGATGTCAAAACAAACCTGAGGACAAGAAAGAAGATTTAACAAAATGGACTATAGAAATGCCAGGAGAATCTTTAGAGTTTGGAAGACAAAAAGCATATATCCTACATAATTTGTCTTTCTCACTCCCAACAATACCCACAAAAATACAGGAACTTCCTGACAGGTGAAATGTATTAACTTGGAAAGCTACTTGGCAAAAGAAGAAAGCCAGAGTTAGATTCAGAAGGTTTGATTCGCCTTACCAGATGGAATATTACATGAGTAAACACCTGTTTGAATATGGTTAAAAGAACAGAACATTTTGGATATAAGGGGGCTCTATAGTAAGAGGGATAAGAGATATAAGTAGTATAGTATTTTTTACAATATATGAAATGCAAAAATATTGGGATGATATATGTAAATGAAAAGTTTGAAATTTAAAAGTAATTAATTTGAAGAGAACTAGGACTGAGGAATGACTGAAATATTGAGGGGAAATTAAGCTTAAACAAGAATTTTTGAAAATAAGATATATAGTAACTTAACAAGATAACTGTCATGGTTCCAACAGATGAAACTCTTCAAAAGAAGAGGCATTGTTTACGTTCAAGAGTCTTTTATTCGAGTAGCATAATATCGGCACTACATAGTTAAAGCCAAAAACTGAATACCCCCTGGGCACATAGTATCAAAGCACAATTCCCTCCTCTAATTAACTGTCATAAATCACATTCCCCAATTAGCTTGAAGTGTGGGCTTCCTCTTCAGTTCTCCAGCCCGCCAATTCTTTATCAACTCTGGGCTCAATAACCTTGATTCTCATGCTAAGTTTAGTGTTCTTATGTCTAGCTAGACTCTCATTCACATCTCCCCCCCTCCCAGCATTATCTAACTCTAAAAGCAAAAGGGAAAAAGATGGCTACATTTCCATCTGTTGTCAATGCAAAACATCCGATGTTAGCAGCGTTGACAATAACTTTTACAAATATAAGTGAAATATAAGCCAATCAAAAAAGATATTATATGTAGGTGTTATAAGATAAATGAGTAGTATAGTATCCTTATAACACATGAAATATGAAAATATAAAACATATTTATAATATATATAGACGATACTGCAGATACAGCTATAGAATTAGCTTCAGGACTGAATTGGGTTCATACATAGGAGCAGAATAGCATAAGCTTTTAGTATTGTTTTTTGGAAAGTCTGTTAAACAAGTACAGCTTTCAGGCATGCCTGAGCATGTAATCCTAAACTGTTTGATCAGAGTGCTCTGTTGCTAAATACTTGGCTTTTAAATAATTCACAATGCCTTACGCTGCTCCATTAGAAGACATCTTTATTTCCATATGCAACAGAATCAACATATTCTCCTTAGAACAATAAGGGTGTACAAACGAATTGTAACCCATTTCTTAAATGGCTTTTATATATTACCCTTCAATGCCTGAAACGCCGCTTTATTAGGATTCAAGGTATTCTCTCTTGAGACTGTGATATCTGGAATGACCTCTATACTCTGAGGATGTGCATTGGCAGGAAGTTCAAAGAAAAGCTTTGCTGCTTCTAGCAGAGCTTGCTCACTTCCCCAAAGAATAAATAATGAGTAGGGATTGCCTTTTTATATCACTCCTGAGGTCTTGGCAGTGTATTATATTTTCTATAGCAGTAATTGACACCGTATGTTTCAAAGACGAGTTCACGATAGAAGGAGCCCTCAAATAAAATGTTTTCAGGGAAGTTTCTACTAGCTACTTAGCTAGAAGGTTTTGATTGCATTTCAGAGTTTTGTGAATGTGATCTTTGGTGCTTTTATGAAATCCCATTTAATTTTTTGAGACCTTTTAGTTTATATCTTCAGAAGCCTTTTTGTCAGTGTTCTAACTAGCTGGTAATCATCCATGCAGGACTCCTTAATTATTATCATTCATTTAAAATTTGCTTAACAATATTGCATTATGGAAAGAGCTTTTTGCTAGGCATTCTGCAAAACATAAAACAAAACACCAGGAAAATTCTTCTGCCATTCCTTTATACTAAGTATATGCCATGCCAATCAGCTCAAGGGTTGCACTAGGTTTTGCATGCCACATTGAGAATCACAGTTCAAAAATGGCTGGGGCCAGTATATGAGATTTGATTAAACTTTTATTTTTTTAAGAGTTAAAACAATTGCTATAAGCCATTTAGTTCATTAAAAGCCTTCCCAACATACAAATATTTTTTAAAAAACATTTTGAACCGCCACCTCTCTGGATTGTTCTGGAGATAGCTAGAAGGATTCTGGAGGCAATAATGGGCTGTGGTTTTATGCCACTAATTTAGACTTTTCTCTATCATCAGTTGTATAATTTGAATTATAGTTCTTCAGTCAGTTTTTTTACTTTCGTATCATTAAATTGATTTTGCTCTGCCTTCTAGTAACATGAAATCACTTCCTTATTCTTGTAATGGGCAGAACTAATAATTTGAAGAACAGGAGGAAGAGTTCCAACCAAGACAATAGTCAGATAAAAGAATTCTGAGTCTAGGTCAGAAATGCAATTTGAGAAAGCTTCTCAGATGACAGCCTCCCTGGTTTCCACAAAGATATAGGAAAGGAGGGGAAGCATATTCAGACTTGCAAGATTATGTTACTTTTTATATATAACAAAAGCAATATTAGCATTTGTGACTTTGGTTTTCTAGTCTGGTCTACTTTGGAAAGCTTATATTGTATTCGTCATTGGCAAAATGCACTGAAGATTGACAATTGAATCTTACTAATTCATCCAGCAACTCATTCATTTACTTGTGCAAGTTTTTTACCATTTTTATATAATGTGCAATCGTTTCACACAATTTTCCCTATCAGCAAATCAACCTTGTTCTTTACTAAATTAATTTTTAGATCCATACTCTTTGAATCATAAAATCTATCTAACATTGCAAATGTTGCAAATCACAAGTTGGGAAAGAGGGATGGAGAAATTTTAAGACATAAAATGCTAGTAGAAAAGTAATGAGTGTATGTGGTCCAGAAAAATGAAAGTGGGATATGTGTGAGAAGGTGCTCTTATTTGCTTGTTATATGTGGTGAGAGTAGAGTAAGTCAGGAGAAACATAAAATATAAGGCGAATGTAGTGGAAATGAGCAGATAATGAATGAAGTCTATTTAATACAGTAATTTCACATTTTTAAAAAGTATATTGCAGTAGTACCCCTTTAGTACTCCTAGAAAGTAGTAGTCAGGGATCTGTAAATAACTAATGTGGTTGACATCTGGAAAGCTGACTCCAAGTCTTAATGTTTCAATAGCCAGTCCCTCTATATCCATCAATCAATATGGTTGAATCGTCCAAGGCTAAAGTTACTATCTATGTTTTGATCAGTTTGGGTAATATGCTATTTTATTCTCTTTAGGAAATAGAAAAATTGAGAGAAGAAATTGATAATGCCAGAGAACTTCAGGCACAAAGGGACTCTTTAACTCAGAAATTACAAGTAAGTAACAGTGGTGGGAGATCTGTGTAGATCTAATTTAATCTATATACATCACCCACAGGCTAGTAGAATATGACAAGTTTTAAAGCACCATTCACCCCTAAATAGCATCTTCAAATCTTCAGTCTTGTACCAGTAGAGCAGCAAGGTGCACAACAGAGCCCATTCTTCCATCAGGATACCCAAACGTTCCATGTGAGACTGCTCCTCACCTGCTCTCTTGCTTATTCTGCAAGTTCCCTGTCAAAATAGAACTTAACCTAATGTGTGTCAGATTTTATATCCAGACTCAGCAGTAAATCACAGCAAGCTCCCAGAGATAACTAGCTAGAATCTTTTATTGCAGACAAAGAAGATGCCCTCTGCAATTTAAAGAAGTCAGAGGAGCATGTGAGTGGGCAGGCAGGCCAGATATATAAAATCTGTGCTCCTGGGTTTAAACTCAAGGCTTTTTCTTACACTTCCAAGTTAATGGATACTTGGCCACTCTATTGATGACTTGAGAATCAGTCAAACTATTTCCCTCTTGTGTCTGGGAATTACACTGGCAGCTTGAATTACTTGCTGTTCAGTAAGGAGGATGAGTCAATAAAGGCAGGGAATGACCGAGAGTATTTGTGCCATATGGTCAAGAGAATGGAAGGGTTAACACCAGGCATCATTTGATGCTGACAAGAAGATGGATTGTCAGGAGGCAAAATGGCAAAAAATGGTTTAATCATGTTTCTCATAAGAACTAAAGAAGGCTTTAGTGTGTGAAAAGTTTTATGTAAGTGTTTTATGTAATAGCTGATCTGTTCAGAGGAAAGTAAAGAGATACCAAAGACTTTTTACGCCAAACACAAGTTTATGAAATCACCATACATTATTCTACCTAATAATAAGTCTATGAAATTGAACTTAACTTGAGGGAGATTGACTTTTAATTCATGCTGATTAAAAATTACGTGCTTAAACTTGTGAAATGCTGATGTTATTACTCCAAAACTTGCTTTTTCATGGCAGACAATTCAGATTTCACAGGAAGCTAACATTACTTTTTACTCAAAACTATACTGTCATATGGTGGAGTTTTGTTTGCAGATTCTTATATATTATATTCCTTAATGATCTGTAGATATAGATAGTTTACATCTCTTTGGCTGAAGCTAGATTTTTCCGTTTATTCTCACAATTGATGTTTTACAATTGCCTGGACAAGCTACTTATGTAATGAGTGAAGAATTTATGCCCAATTATGAATATGTTGTAGTTGCTTATTTATTTGACATGAGATAAATATCAGTTTATTGTCTTGAAGAATTTAATGACAAAATTTATAGATGTGAGAAGAAAGGTTTTGCAGAGCTATAATCGTTTTGAAAATCAGTTAGTGGGAAATGATTAAAATACATATTTGCTAACTTTTTAAAAAATAGAATTACACTAAATCATACTGAGGAAGCAGTTCATACACATTTAGCCTATATTGACTTCTAAATTATATCAGAAACACTGATAAAGATGGGTCCCCTTCAAATCATGCTCTCTATGATATAACATCTGTGATGCTCTATCTCAGTAATTATGGGGATATGTGCCTTGCTCCTTAGTAAAAACACCATCCCTTAACTATATATGTAGGCACTAGAGTTCCCTTCACCTTTGTTGCTACCCAATTTTGGTGGTATACAATTTGTCACCAAAGTTAAGTAGAAATCTTCATTAAAAATATTACTAACCAGGACACTAAGTACTTAGAATTACATGATTTTCAGAATGGAATCAAATAATTACAAAATTGAGTGATTTGTTTATGTGTATTTATGAATCAGATACAAATAATAAACAAATCCAAACAGATATATACACACAATATTCAGTTAAAATAAATTTTTTTTGTCTCCAATGGTTTAATTCTAGATCTCTTGGAAGTAACCAGATTCCCATTGCCAGAGGCAAAATATTTACTTATGTGCATAATTTATTATTTTATATTGTACTGTTTGCTCTGGCAATTGCCCATTCCTTTTTGATGAATGAAAGCAAATATAGGTGTCCCAGCACAATGTTGCAGGATCCAGTCTGGGTCAGTCACTGGGATCAGAGGTTTAATCTTGCAAGCTTTCGGACTCGTACTGGAGCCCATTCTTAGGGAGTATCTCTCTAGCAGAGTGTTTGCTTTGGGCTATTCTGTGTGTGGTATTCTGTGCATTCTCTCTGCTAGGCAGAAGTTCCCTGAGGATGGAAGCTCCGGCACGAATCTGAAAGCTTGGAAGACTAAACCTCTGGTCCTGGTGACCGACTCAAATTGGATCCTGCATTCCTTTTTGTCTCACTGTCTTTTGCTTGTCATATTCATTTTTTGAAATGTACAACAAAGCTAAACATGGTTCTCAGTCCAAAAACAGATGTGATCTTCTACAATTGGCTTACGTGTAGACAGATAAATACAATGTTATGATTATTACACTGTGAGGAAGGTTCTATCCTGGACCACACTGTAGCATACTTTATACCATGATATTTCTGTGTAACATTAAGAATAGAATTTTAAAATAGTATTTTATTTACTTTGCATATTGCATTTTTTTAAGGAAGTGGAAGTTCGAAATAAAGATCTAGAAGGCCAACTATCCGATCTTGAACAGCGTTTGGAGAAAAGTCAGAATGAACAAGAAGTTTTTCGCAATAACTTGAAAACACTTTTAGAAATTCTTGATGGCAAAATTTTTGAACTTACAGAACTACGAGATAATCTGGCCAAGCTAATAGAATGCAGCTAAAGAACACAGGATCTCAGTGCCAAACTTCTTAAAGATGCACTGTCTCTCTTCATACAGGACTTTGTTGGGATCTGCATCAAAGTTGCACAAAATTAGAAAAATGCTCCTTCAGAAGGGCCTGTTTTAAATTTTCAACAATATACAATATACAGTATTTCAATGTGAAATTTCAGAATTCAGCTTGTAGTTAGTTGAAAAAAAAATAACTTGAAGTACAAATTACCTCCTTGTATATAATTGGCCATAGATAACTCGAGGGTATTAACAGTAATTGAATGCAATCCTTTTCTAATTATTAGCCAATGAAATAATAAGAAGTGCTTCAAATGACATCCCTCTTAGTGTTCCACACAATGTAGGCAATCAGTTTTATTTTCTTTGTTAAGGCAACCGTATGCTGTGTTTTGTGCAAGAACTTTGTGATGACAGCCCTCTCTTTTGTTGTAATCTGAATAATTTCTCAGGATATTTTGTACTGTTGAGAAAAACAGTGCATTACCAATTAATTCTTGCCAGGAGTGAGAGAGAGTTGCATCTTTAATTCAGACCTAATGAATTAATGCTTGTATAGAGTTCTTCCATTTTTTTATACTGGAAGATACTGTCTTTATTTACGATGTTCTCTCTGGTGTTCTATAATATTGTCTAGTGTATGGTTTACTTTTTTCCTATTGGGAATTCATGTATGTAGAAATTATGTATTTCATTTTGTTATGCATTTTGAAGCCTATCTATGAAGACAAGCAAGTCCCTGAAAGGTATTTTAAATTTTGCTATGTTCTAATAAGGTTCAATCTATGCTTACCGAATATCACATGGGCTTATCTTTTCTTATCAAAATGTCTTTTACTAATTTATTTAGCAAGAATTCTGAAACTGTGCAAATATAGTTATTGCTAGGGCATTGACCTTGCTCAGGCAATTAAAGAGGGGGGGGGGAAATGATTGTATTAGCATAGAGAATTTTTTTTCTGCTGTATGTTCATGAAACATCTTTATTAGAAAGACTAGCCAGGCTACGTTCTGAATTTCAAAACAAGACCTGAATTCAGTTATTCTCAGTGAACCTCTTTTTAAGTTGTATTGATGTAATTTACAAATATTTTTGCCAAATATGTATTTCTTTATATATATATTATTTTAAAGGAAAAAAAGAAAAGCAAATTGAGGGTCAATCTATGTTTCTTGAATGGGAATCAGCCACTCTTGCTGTAGATTGTCTGATATTGCAAAAGATTTTTAAAAATTTAACAAAAAAGAATCAGACAACAATGCACTGACCTTTTTATTTACACCAAATTAATTTGGATGTTAAATATAAAATACAGCTTAACTATAAACTCTGTATTTTTTTCCACTTAAGGACTGCTATTCAAAGCTAGATAATATAAATCGGGTTTTTTATGTGTGTACTGTATGTATATACTGTATAATACAGGCACTCTAATTTATATTTAAAATGGGATAAATATTTGGCTTAATTTATAAAATGACATTTTCTTTATCTGTAATTTAACAAGTGGCTCCTGAAATATCAGGATTATTATTAATTAAACACTAAATTATGATGTATTATACTATATGTACTGTACACATCATTTGTTTTGTCCATGTTTTAGAGTATTTTATCACTTATTTTATTTATTATTGGGAAATATTTGTTCATTGCATTCATAGATAAAAGCTTTCTCTGGTGATTTTTAAAAACTTAATAGCTAAGTGTTGATGATGTGCAACCTTATTGATCAGAACAGTAGTGATTACCTGATTTTAATTTACCTGAAGAAGTTTGCACCTCATTCTGTTGCTAGATGAGCGTCACTCAGAAACATCTTCAGCAAAGTATAAAATTGGTGTAATTCTGGGACGAATGAAGTAAGTTCTTGCTCGGCATTCTTAATTATAGCAAGTTAGAACAGAAATTTGATGGCAAAAAATGTAACATTGTTTTTAATAAATTTTTAATACAAGGACATTTACATGTGGGAAAAAAGTTTACAAAGTATTTCCACTTCAATGCTGTGTATATGTGTTGTACAAGAAAACCTATTTGTATATGTACACACACATATGTATATACAGTATATAAAAAATTAAATGTGCACATTTAGGATATTTTCCTATTGAAATTAAAATTAGTAATCGGAAATCAATATTTGGGAATTTCTTTTCTCATGTATATTTAGATGCTTGACTTTGGGTTCTTTTGTTTGTAAAATAAAATCTAAGAGGGCTGTACCACTGAATTCCCAAATGTCATCTAACATGTATATGGGATAAGGTAAATATAAGTGCACATATAAATTAATTATATTACAAATCTTTTAATGTTCATTTACATTAGATGGGTGTTAGAAATTATATGTTAACAATTACACTCAGTTGTTCTTAACTAAATGGCTCTCCTGCACTAGCATATATGCCAGAAAACACTTTTGATTGTCATAGACTAAGAAAAGCAAACAAGAATTTACATCGAAGAACAATCACATTGTGTATAACTTGTTATATGACAATTATGGAGTCTTGTTAAAAATTCTTTTAAAACCCAACAAAATACAGTTTTTATTTTGAAATACAACTGCTGTTCTGGAGAATGTACTTTATTAATTTTTCTTTCTTGAACTCTTTTTAAGAATTATAAACTGTTCATTGAATGGCAGCATTTACCTTAATTCTTCAGGTGCTACTGGATTTTGAATTAGAGTGTCATGTTGTGAAATTATGACTTTGACATAAAAAGGTTTTATAAGTATATCCCTGTCTGGAAGTTGGTTATTGGGGCCTCTTTCTCATAACTCTACTCCAGAATTTTCCAATAATTTCATTCTTCCATCTAGAATTCCTTGATCCCAGGCCACAAAATTCATCAAATGAAGCTAATGGGCACCAGTTTCATGATGGAACAATGTGGGCTTATTCAGAATCAAGTGGCTTTTGTTGCTTAATGACCATTTTAATATAAGCAAGCTGAAAGCTAGACAAATAAAGCACCTATTTAATTGGTCCTGTTTGAAAGATACTCAGATGTAAATTATGGATAATAATGATCAATAATATGATAGTACTTTTGGGAAATCAGTGCCAGTTACATGAACAGAAGATCTTATTTCACTTATAAAAGAGACTGCAATCCAGGAGATCCCACCCAATCATCTCCTGTACTGGAGCAATTTTTTGGGGTACCATAAAAAGTTTCTTCTTTCACAACAAATGGAGATTCTCCCCCTAAAAAAAACTGCTTCCACTTTTTAAATTGTTTTGTTTTTAAAACTAGTACACAAAGCAAATAGAAAATATTTAAATTAGTTGTGGCTAGTTCCACATATTACATGAAGAGCTGTTTGCATGATCAGCTAGCCCCAGTAGGATTATAGATCCCAAATGATCATTGACCATTTTGCGAGGCCAAGAACATAGTTGTGTCTTCTGTCTACCACCAGCCCACCCAAAAACAACTTCCACCCATCTTTATCTGCTATATCCGAAGTAGTGTTCTATAAGTAGGGCCTTCCAAGTGATGCTGCCCAGTTCACCTACTGTACTTTATTCCATTGTAGGCAAATCCCTCTACATCAACTGGTTACTGGGTGCTATGACAGGAATCGTTCAGTCACTGGCGTTCCCAGTCATTTTTTCCCACTGGTGAAATAATTAAACAGTAATAATAATAATAATAATAATAATAATAATGATGATGATGATGATGATGATGATGTTGGAAGGGACCTTGGAGGTCATCGAGTCCAACCCCCTGCTCAGGCAGGAAACCCTACACCATTTCGGACAGATGGCTGTCCAGTCTCTTCTTAAAAACTTCCAGTGTTGGAGCATTCACCGCCTTTGGAGGCAGGTTGTTCCATTGGTTAATTGTTCTGTCAGGAAGTTTCTCCTTAGTTCTAGGTTGCTTCTCTCCTTGATTAGTTTCCATCCAAATTGAAACAAATTCTGACACTTCCCTGTATTGGCTATAGCAGGAAAAAAATGTAGAATGTGGTGTTTGTTGTTTTCATGGGACATGGAGGGGTAGCAAAATGGAATTTATTAGTGAAGATCTACAGTAAATGGAAATAAAATCCAAGCAACAGGCTGTCACTGGGACCAAACTGGAAGAATTGAATCTAGAAAGGTATTTCTTAAACTGATTTCATTTCCTCTATGTACGAAAGTCAAGAACTTTAAGGCTGAAGTATGGCTGTTATCTAATTTGATAAGATTTCAGTTTAACATTGCATGATCTGCCAACAGATTTGGAACTGCAAAGAGGTATTGGAATCTATTAAGAACTATGATGATGCAGTGGTTAGAATGCAGTATTGCAAGCAAACTCTGCTCACAGCCAGGAATTCAATGCTGACCTGCTCAAGGTTGATTCAGCCTTCCATCCTTCTAAGGTCAATAAAATGAGGACCCAGATTCTTGGGGGCAACATGCTGACACTGTAAACCGCTCAGAGAATGCTGTAAAGTGTTAGGGAGCAGTATATAAGTCTAAGTGCTATTGCTAATTATTCCCCCCCCCAGCAATGTGACAACATCTACCCATGACAGAAACTGTATTCAAATAAATATCTTTTATTTAAGGAAATGAAGGAGCAACTCTTAAGCACCAAAACTTGAAGTATGTTGTTACATTGCATGTTTAAGAGACAGTCATTCAGGACTTTCAGTACAGGTTTGAATTTTGAAGCCATGATAGTAGAAAACATGAAGGACAAAGCAAAACAACATAATTACTGAAAGACTGCACTAAAAGAAAAATAAGCAAAAAGAAATAGTTTAAACTTTTAAAATTTTCAAAATATTGCTAAGAATGCTCATTTAGTTTATGTATGTTATTTAATACTTTAGAATACTGAGCATTATAAAAGTATTGCAAAGGTTTGCAGGAATATGCTTTTTTTAAAGAAATGTCCATTAATAGTGTCCATTAAATACAGCTGTGTTAAGTACTGCAGTGTGATTTAAATTTTACACTAAATCAATGAATAGTAATTTTTATTTTAGCTTAAAAGTGAAATGTACCATATTTTCTAGTACTTACCTATGCAATTTTGTTGACAGCCTTTTGCATTTCAGTAAAATATTAACACAGCTGTGATATTGGCAACTCAAAACAATAATTGATAATTAAATAGAAAAACACAAATATAAGAGGCAAGTAAAATGTGTTATTGGGAAACCCATCTGGACATCACTGGTACTTTTAATAGGTGTAAGCAAAGGCTATAGATGAAATTAGATAAGGAATAAATTACACATACTCGATTTAACAAGCGTTCACCCATCTGTTGTTTGACTAGAGGGAAAAAAGCATTCAGAAATCTGTACTATTTTCCCTGGAAGAAAGTGTAAGTATAGCAGGAGAATAATTTAAATCAGGAAAATTGAATGTTAGGATAGGAAGAAATATATCAGACAATTCTATCTGGTGATATCTGTGGCTATCTTTATTTTTTTTTAAAAATGGAATGACTCAGTTCTTGTTCTCAAAATGCCCTGTTTTGGTTTACTTTCAAGAACACACATGATGCATGATATCTGAAAGTTGAGTCATGACAACTGGGCTTTTCATTTTTTGTTTGAAACATTTCCCTGCTTATTGAAGTAGCTTCTTCAAACTTAGCAAGTTGGGACCCACCTAAGAGAAACATTTAAAAGCAAAGTCTCTTAACACTTCTCTGCCTATGCACCTAATGAACCTATTCAGAAATGAAACCACCCTGGAGGATATATATGAGGTCCAACTAACCAACTTGCTTAGACTGAAGTAACTATTTGGATAAGCAGCAAAACGTTTCAAACAAAAAAAGAAAAGTCCTGTTCCCATGACTCAATTTCGACACAACTCTACCTGGATGTCAAATTTTTTATCAATGATGTATAATGGTAATTCCTAAAGCATGACTATATAGGCAAACAAGTTTTGATTATTCTTTGTACAAAGTTTTTGCAAAATTCTAGGGTTTTGGAAAAAACCACAACCAAACTAGCACCTCAGGAACAAAGACTTTATCTTAGTGGCCTCTTAAATTTACTATTATTTTACTTGTATAGAAAGCATGGGACTCACACATATAATCTAAAATAGACT